GATTTATCATAGTTGACCCTAAGGCCAGATATGTTACCAAAATCTTCCAAGGCCTGTGTGAGAATCTGTATAGATGTGGTATCCCCTCTAGAAAAAAGCATCAAATCATCAGCATATGCCACATGTGATATGTTAAGGGATCCACACAGGGGGTGATGGTTAAACATAGGATTTTTGGTCCTAATGTTCAACAATCTGGAAAAATATTCCAAGCAAAGGACAAATAAGAGGGGGGACATAGGATCCCCTTGCCGAAGCCCTCTCTTACCCTCAAAGTGGCCGTGGAGCACCCCATTAATAGATATGGAATAGGAAGGTGTGGTGACACACTCCATAATCCAATGTATAAATCTGCCCGGGAAGCCCAAATGGGTTAACATGGCAGCCAGGAAATCCCAGGATATAGTATCATAGGCTTTCCGGAGATCAACCTTTATCATACATCTAGGAGATGCACGTTTCCTAGAGTATCCCTTGATCAATTCTTGTGCAACGAAGACATTATCAATCATAAGTCTTCCATCAACAAACGCCCCTTGGGCGTGGTCAATGAGGTCCGGTAGACACGGGATCATCCTCTTAGAAATAATTTTGGTAATGACTTTGTAGACCACATTAGTACAAGCAATTGGTCTAAAGTCCGCCGGTGTGGGAGAGTGATTGGTCTTAGGAATTAAAGCAATAACCGTATGGTTAGTTTGCTTTAATAACCTGCCAGAGCCAAAGAAGCCCCTCACGGCTCTAGTAAAGTCAAACCCAATGGTGTTCCAATTTTTTTTAAAAAACGCGGATGTGTAACCGTCCGGCCCTGGTGATTTGTTATCACCAATATCAAACAAGGCCTCTTTGATTTCCAAATCGGTGATAGGAGCAACCAAACCAGGAATGGCATTGGCGGGTAAACATCTACCCGAGGCCACCACAGAGGGGTCCAACCCGGAAGTGGGGTAGTAGGCACCAAACAAATTAGTATAAAAATTCACTAATTCCGTAACAACTTGGTCAATAGAAGTGGTAGAAATCCCATTTTGGAGTTTTAAAGCCGTAATGGAATTTCTAGCCATATTCTTTTTCACAATAGCATGGAAATATTTAGTACATTTATCACTATGAACAAGATGATTTGCCTTAGCCTTTTGCTTAAAAAAATCTTCTTCGGCTACTTTAAGGTTAAGAAGTTTTTTCTTGATCAAGGAGAGTTCTTCTTTTATAGTTTCATCCAACGGAGAGAGTATAGAGAGCCCAAGGAGCCTTTTATACTCTTTCTTGGAGTCCTTAACTCTTTCGGAAATGTGGCCAAAATGGAGTTTATTTAGCTCTCTAAGAGGTCTTTTGAGGTCCTTCAATTTCTTGGCTAGAATGAATTGAGAGCTTCCATAAACCTCTCTATCCCAGTGGGTAGTGAGGATGGCATTGAAATTTTCGTGGTTTAGCCACATATTAAAAAATTTAAAAGGCCGCGAGGCAGCCCCACAAGTTTTACCAATGGAGACCATGGAAGCTACATGATCGGATTCAAGTTCGAAGTCATGAAAATGTGTTTTGCATTCAATATCAAGAGTTGACCAAAAAGAGTTAATGAGAACTCGGTCTAACTTAGCCCAAAGCGAACCTCTATTCCAAGTAAGGAATTGGCCCGTGGATGGACAATCAACAAGATTAGTTTGCACTTTAAAATCATTTAAATGTTGCATGTCATAGGCCGAGGGAGGGGTAGGACCCACTCTCTCATTCGGGCATCCAACACAATTAAAGTCTCCCATAACTAGCCAAGGGCGATTAATGGTAGGCTCCAAGTTAGCTAGGTGATCCCAAAGGGCCTTTCTCTCAAGAACCGTGTAGAGAGCATACACAAAAGTAACAAGATACTCAATTTGAGTGACCTTACATGTGGCGCTAAGATGCACATGTTGTTTATCAATTTCAAGTACATTAATATGAACAAAATGTGGGTCCCAAATTATGCCAATACGGCCACCATCAATTTTCTCAAAATTAGTACTAGATAGCCAAGATGGTAATCTAGTTGAACTAAAATTGACAAAATTAGTAGTAGTCATTTTGGTTTCAAGTAGGCAACACAAATGAATATTATTAGCACGTATGTATTTAAGAATAGAGTTTTGTTTGGAGACCTTGTTGAGGCCTCTTATATTCCATGCGGACACAATCATCAAAACTTTTTGTTGGTATTCCTCCTCCCTCCTTTCTTCCCATAGGGTCTCGGCCTAGCCACACTTTTTTCCACCAACGGGCTCGGCTTTGCTCTTGCTTTGTACCTAGTAAGATATAACAAAGTATAGGGATATTCAATAAACCAAGAGTTAAAGTCATACCCATACTCCGTAGCAAAGACTCCCGGGATAGCCTCCAAGCATTGGGTTGTGAAAGTGAGTCCAACGGTGAGCTCATCTTGAGTAATCCTCAAGTAGTTGTCCAACCGTACCATTGGTTCCTTGACTTCACCGAAATGTAGTAGATGAATCAACGGTAGGTTGTCTATGCCAAGTTCAAGTTTCACAATAACATCATCCCGATATGCATCTCTAATGTCCTTGACCACCCGAACTTTGTTGTAGTCAACCATGCTTGTACGCTTCACAAGAGATGCTTTCCCCCTTGGACACCCATCTTCATAATATCTACAAAGATAGTGTCTAAAGACACCCCTCATAAAAGTAGGATCGAAAGTGTACCCATTATTAGTACTTGTAATCCCGGGCAGCCCCTCCAAAGTATCCTTAGTAAATAGCATTCCGGGTTGGTCTTCATTCACAATTTTAAGATGATGATCCATCTTTAGTATTATAGCATCCTTATCTACATGCTTTTTATGTGTAACATTGATAGTAGGCATTAGAACATCGTCGGTTTGCATTTCAACTACCACCTCATCTTGATAGATGTCATGAAATTTTTGAACTTTCCGGATAAGTACATCCTCACCATCCTTGAAATCGGATGTGCCACCCTCCCCTCTTATGGGCTTTTTCTTTCCCAATTTAAAGAACCGGAACTTCTTGAAAAATGGATGGTCTCTTTTAGTGACAAAAATATCACTTTCTACCTCAATAACTTGTTCATTACTCACTGTTTTGGCTTCTTTACTCACTGTTTTGGCAGCCTCCTTATCACCCTCGGCCAACCCATCTTCAACAACAATGCCCTTGCCTTTTCTTATGATGTCTTCCTTTTCTTTCTTCTCAATTTCGGCAATAGTAGTACATGTAAATGCATGATGCCCAAACTCTTTGCAATGGAAGCAATAATTAGGAAAAGTCTCATACCTCACATATTGTGTGTGTAGTTTGCCATTAGGTAGCTTAATCTTAAATTCAAGTGGAGGTGGTTTAGAGGCATCAACTTCAATTAAGACCCTTGCAAAGTTTGATCTAGCTTTCTCAAGTGTAACTTTATCCGTGGTTAAAGGTATGCCCACCTTAGATGCCACCTCACTAATAATGTCTTCTTCCCAAATTCTCATTGGAAGATGTGGAAATTGTACCCAAATAGGCACCTTAAGGAATTCATCATCATTCATAGAGAAATCATCCGAAAGCAATTTCAAGGGAAATGTCTTGCCAAACATAGTATATGGCCCTTCCATAAGCACTTTAGCTCTATCTTTTTCATTTTGGAACTTGAAAATGACCCACCCTTTGTCATGGCTTCTAAACCGAGTTGGGACAGCCCATTTTTGCACAAGTGTTTGCAAATTCTTGTAACCGGGGTAACCATTATCGAAGTAACCGACTAGGCAATGACCCCAAATAGCAATCATAGATGGTAGCACTCGGGTAGTGAGGTCAATAATATCACCTTTAGGCTCAATATACCTCAACTTCATCCCTTTATTTGGCTGCCTATTGTCTTTGAAAAGTGACACAAATGAAGGCTTGGAACCCGGTTGTCCCCATTTGCCTCCTCCCTGTGCCACAGTTTTATTAGCAATTGTTGTCTCAGCCTGAGTTACAAGTGCCAGGGAGGGTAATTCCGCAGCCTGAGAGGTTGCCACAGCCATAGTTAATGCCGTAGCTTGAATGGTTGCCACATCTTGAGTTACTGCCGCGGCCAGAGTGGGTAATTCCGCGGCCCGATCGGGTAGTGCTGCGGCCTGGAAAGCAAAGGTGGGCACAATTTTTTCAGCCATGGATTTCTCCCTTTCCAGCATCTCTTTAACAGTTGGGTCAAGCTCATACTCTGTTTCTTCAATCACTACATTGTCAAGAGTAACTTCCTCAAGAATTGGAACAATAGGAGTACCTTCAGGTATGTCAACATTGATGTCCAAAGTATCAATTTGGGGTGTAGTATCCAGATTTCCAGGGTTGTCCACCGAGGTACCATCACTATTAGCACAATTACCAGCCTCATTTGCCTCCAAAGAATCTTCTCTAGAGTCCTCCATGATGGGTTCCAGCGTTGTAGAGAATTCAGGAGCTTCAACATGGGATAGAATATCATTCTTCAGCATTACTATTTCATCATCTTTCCCACGAGCCGTATTTTGACATGCTTCATCAATGTCTTTATTCTGTTTGCCCTTTAGCCGAGAGGAGGATTTGGTGGGAGCTTCCTTCTTCTTTTTGGTAGGCATCGTGTAGTTGAAGGGGGAGCTAAGAAGAAAGCCCCTCCTAAGTAACCATGAGCGTAGCTGCGTTTCTCAGATATGGATTTCCAAAAATAGAAAGGACCGTTGGAGAAGATGACCAAAAAAGTCAACCTTTCTTGATGATGAAAAAACTTGTATTTGCTTGATCCTCACACCCAAGAGCAGCTAAAATCACCTTCGAACTAAACTTTAATCGATCGGAAAGAGAGAAATCGAGGTTGACCTCTTCTGTGAATAGTGATTCCGAACGTGTTGGAGATGAGAAAACTGTCCAAAATTCCCCCAAATGAGCTAAAAAAATTGAGGAATATACACCCCAAAGAAGATTAGGAGGTAGATTAACCAATATCCAAGCTCAAAATAAGGATTAATGGAAGAAGATGGATGATTCGAGTATTGCCGTAGAAGAGCCTCGCGAAGAGGGAGAGAAACAGCTCTCAACTTCTCAACCCAACCCATTGCAACTCGACGATAACATGTAAGTATATTAGGAATCGAAAAAATAGCATTACAATGCATCACATCCAAATCAAAATGACTATCTAAGCTAGAATAAACTAACCTAGATATAATGTATCAGAATAATGGGACAGACCCCACCTCATAAGTTACAAACAAAGTGCATATCCCAATAAATGGGATGTCACAATATCAAGACTAAACATCCTCACATATCAACCATATTGAACCTAAAAGACATTATGAGCAATAATAATCTGAAAAACCATCAACACAATTAGGTAGTACTAATTTAACATCCAAGAAAACATCGGAACGGAGTAGTGAACTTTGAATCAAAGCAAACCTCCCCTTTCTTCTTTGTAACTCCCGGCAATCCTTCAAGACATTTCGCGGTAAATGTAAGGCCCTTCCTATCCAAATCATCCGTAAGTCGCAGAGAAGTGTCCACTCTAATCACACTAGCCTGTACGAATCTAAACGGTTTGACAACTAACTTTAGTGTCTTACCGTTTATTATCTCACATTTGATAACCACATCGTTCTGTTTCACATCTCTTTGGTCCATCACAGTCCTCTCAACATCTTTCAAAACAACCTCGGAGGCTTTATCAACCTTAGAAAGTCCTTGTGCAGCTGGTACAGTTACAGATAAGGTGGCGGCTGCAGACTGCGCGGTAGACCCGGTTGGGTTGCTGGTATGCCCGGTCGGGCAGACAGCATGGGCAGCAACTGCTGCAGTTTTTACAGGCCCGGTTGGGTCAGCTGTACCACCGGTCGGGTATTTCTGGGCAGCAACCTCTGTCTGAGTGGCCTCACTAACAACATCCTTATTTGTTACAACACTCGGTTCTTTGTTATCACTTTCCCCATCAACCCTTTTAGCAAGGTTTTTACAAATAAAAGGGTGGTGTCCAAAGTCTTTGCAATGAAAACAGTAGTTAGGAAAAGTTTCATAAAGCACACTTTGTTTTATTACCTTTGAGGAAGGTAGTCGTATAGGAAAAGAAAGTGGCGGTGGCTTTGAAACATCCACTTCAATAAGCACTCTAGCAAAATCATTATTTGCCCTATCTTGAGTAATCTTGTCCGTAGTTATTGGGACCCCAATCATAGATGCTACCTCACTCATAGCTTCGTCATTCCATAGCTTCATTGGTAGTTTAGGGAACTTGACCCAAATTGGTACTTTAAGAAACTCCTCATCCTCAAACGAGAAGTCATCCGAGAGTTCTTTGAGCATTAGGAGCTTCCCAAAAACAGTGTAAGGACCGTCATGTAGCACCTTCAATCTATCCTCCTCATTTGTGAATTTAAAGATTACCCATCCCTTGTTATGGGACCTCACAAGACATCTCACACCCCATGTAGATTTAAGATCATGAACCGCTTTGAGTCCGGGGAATTTTCCGGTGAAGTGTCCAACTAGGCAGTAGCCCCACATTTCAACCATGGAAGGTAATACACGATCTCCAAAGTCCAAGGTTTCCCCTTTAGGAGGGACATACCTCAGTTTGATGCCATGTCTTGGATCACGATTATCCTTAAAAAGGGCATTCCAAACTTTCGGCTGAGCTGCCTGTGCATCAGTGGTTACTGCCAGAGTTGGCTGTATAGGTGCCTGTGCGTTATCAGTTACTGCCAAAGTTGGCTTCTTAGCAGCATTTTTTCCTTTCCCTGGCTTTGTTGCAGTAGGAGTCTCAGCATGTAAGGCCTCAGAAGTAGCATTAGTTGCTTTAAGCGCAGGTTTAGCAGAAGCCTCAGAAGAGGCAGGTTTAGTCGCAGGGCTCACCAATTCCTCAGGTATAGCACCTGCAACAATCTTCCCAGTCAGTCCATTCCCATAAGCATTAGGAGTTTTGCCAAAGTTCCCTGGAGTTTGATTCCCAGGTTGGTTCTCTGGCAGCTTCACTAAATTCGCAGCATTGAAGGGGGGGAATTCTTCATCGGATCCTTGCAAGACAGAAAACCTCGATCGAGTTGTACGAGTCAAAGATGCATCCCCTGGTCCCTGCTTAGTTCTTCCCATAGTGCCAGGTCGTACCACAGTCCAAACCAGCCAAAAGAATCAGCAACAATCTGAGTGACAAACAACCTCCAAGAGCCCTGTAGCAGACCCTCAATCGCAGGGAAATTCTCCAACAACCTGCGAACAGATGGGTACCATACCAGGCTTCAAAAAGTAGAACGATGATTTCTCAATGCGACAAACAAGACAATTTCAGAGTTCGTCCAGACTGCTTCAATCCATCTTTGCTGTTTCGAGCTCTGGCCGATCAAAAATGGAAAAGGCCGTTGGGGAGGAAGACCAGCGAATTCTACTTTCCTTGATGACTGGAAAAAAGGTATTTGCTTGGTCCACGCACGCAGGGGAATCCAACAACACCGTCCAAGAGAAGAATGATCAAGGGAGGCTCGAGTATACGGCGTTGACCTGAAACTGTGAACAGTAACCGGTCGGTGTTCAAGTGTGAAAAACAGACCAAAAATCCCCAAAATGAGCTCAAAAATTGGAGGATTTACACCCCAAAGAAGTTTAGAAGGTAAAGCAACCAATATCCAAGCTCAAAGTCAAGATTAATGGAAGAAACGAGTTGATTTGGTGAAAGGCGTAGAAGAGCCTCGACGTGAGGGAGAGAATCAGCTCTCAACTTCTACCCAACCCAATGCAACTCAACCCAATGCAACTCACCCATTGCAACTCGAAATGAGATCATATGTTGTCGTATTCAAAATTTAAGCCAATCTTCGTGATTCGGTTGATTTAGTAAGCCTGAAAACACTGAAGAGTTGTATGTTTTTTTCTATTCATAATTTGGACTTGAGTCGTGAACGAGAATTGTGTATTTTTGCATAGGGAACCCATTGCAACTCGAAATGAGATCATACGATGTCGTATTCAAAATTTAAGCCAATCTTCGTGACTCGGTTGATTTAGTAAGCCTGAAAACACTGAAGAGTTGTATGTTTTTTTCTATTCATAATTTGGACTTGAGTCGTGAACGAGAATTGTGTATTTTTGCATAGGGAACCCATTGCAACTCGAAATGAGATCATATGATGTCGTATACAAAATTTAAGCCAATCTTCGTAACTCGGTTTATTTAGTAAGCCTGAAAACACTGAAGAGTTGTATGTTTTTTTCTATTCATAATTTGGACTTGGGTCGTGAACGAGAATTGTGTATTTTTGCATTGGGAACCCATTGCAACTCGAAATGAGATCATACGATGTCGCATTCAAAATTTAAGCCAATCTTCGTGATTCGGTTGATTTAGTAAGCCTGAAAACACTGAAGTGTTGTATGTTTTTTTCTATTCATAATTTGGACTTGAGTCGTGAACGAGAATTGTGTATTTTTGCATAGGGAACCCATTGCAACTCCAAATGAGATCATACGATGTCGTATTCGAAATTTAAGCCAATCTTCGTGATTCGGTTGATTTAGTAAGCCTGAAAACACTGAAGAGTTGTATGTTTTTTTCTATTCATAATTTGGACTTGAGTCGTGAACGAGAATTGTGTATTTTTGCATAGGGGACCCATTGAAACTCGAAATGAGATCATACGATGTCGCATTCAAAATTTAAGCCAATCTTCGTGATTCGGTTGATTTAGTAAGCCTGAAAACACTGAAGAGTTGTATGTTTTTTTCTATTCATAATTTGGACTTGAGTCGTGAACGAGAATTGTGTATTTTTGCATAGGGAACCCATTGCAACTCGAAATGAGATCATACGATGTCGCATTCAAAATTTAAGCCAATCTTCGTGACTCGGTTGATTTAGTAAGCCTGAAAACACTGAAGAGTTGTATGTTTTTTTCTATTCATAATTTGGACTTGAGTCGTGAACGAGAATTGTGTATTTTTGCATAGGGAACCCATTGCAACTCGAAATGAGATCATATGTTGTCGTATTCAAAATTTAAGCCAATCTTCGTGATTCGGTTGATTTAGTAAGCCTGAAAACACTGAAGAGTTGTATGTTTTTTTCTATTCATAATTTGGACTTGAGTCGTGAACGAGAATTGTGTATTTTTGTATAAGGAACCCATTGCAACTCGAAATGAGATCATACGATGTCATATTCGAAATTTAAGCCAATCTTCGTGACTCGGTTGATTTAGTAAACTTGAAAACACTGAAGAGTTGTATGTTTTTTTCTATTCATAATTTGGACTTAAGTCGTGAACGAGAATTGTGTATTTTTGCATAGGGAACCCATTGCAACTCGAAATGATATCATATGTTGTCGTATTCAAAATTTAAGCCAATCTTCGTGATTCGGTTGATTTAGTAAGCCTGAAAACACTGAAGAGTTGTATGTTTTTTTCTATTCATAATTTGGACTTGAGTCGTGAACGAGAATTGTGTATTTTTTCATAGGGAACCCATTGCAACTCGAAATGAGATCATATGATGTCGTATACAAAATTTAAGCCAATCTTCGTAACTCGGTTTATTTAGTAAGCCTGAAAACAGTGAAGAGTTGTATGTTTTTTTCTATTCATAATTTGGACTTGAGTCGTGAACGCGAATTGTTTATTTTTGTATAGGGAACCCATTGCAACTCGAAATGAGATCATACGATGTCGCATTCAAAATTTAAGCCAATCTTCGTGACTCAGTTGATTTAGTAAGCCTGAAAACACTGAAGAGTTGTATGTTTTTTTCTATTCATAATTTCGACTTGAGTCGTGAACGAGAATTGTGTATTTTTGCATAGGGAACCCATTGCAACTCGAAATGAGATCATATGTTGTCGTATTCAAAATTTAAGCCAATCTTCGTGATTCGGTTGATTTAGTAAGCCTGAAAACACTGAAGAGTTGTATGTTTTTTTCTATTCATAATTTGGACTTGAGTCGTGAACGAGAATTGTGTATTTTTGCATAGGGAACCCATTGCAACTCGAAATGAGATCATACGATGTCGTATTCAAAATTTAAGCCAATCTTCGTGACTCGGTTGATTTAGTAAGCCTGAAAACACTGAAGAGTTGTATGTTTTTTTCTATTCATAATTTGGACTTGAGTCGTGAACGAGAATTGTGTATTTTTGCATAGGGAACCCATTGCAACTCGAAATGAGATCATATGATGTCGTATACAAAATTTAAGCCAATCTTCGTAACTCGGTTTATTTAGTAAGCCTGAAAACACTGAAGAGTTGTATGTTTTTTTCTATTCATAATTTGGACTTGGGTCGTGAACGAGAATTGTGTATTTTTGCATTGGGAACCCATTGCAACTCGAAATGAGATCATACGATGTCGCATTCAAAATTTAAGCCAATCTTCGTGATTCGGTTGATTTAGTAAGCCTGAAAACACTGAAGTGTTGTATGTTTTTTTCTATTCATAATTTGGACTTGAGTCGTGAACGAGAATTGTGTATTTTTGCATAGGGAACCCATTGCAAATCCAAATGAGATCATACGATGTCGTATTCGAAATTTAAGCCAATCTTCGTGATTCGGTTGATTTAGTAAGCCTGAAAACACTGAAGAGTTGTATGTTTTTTTCTATTCATAATTTGGACTTGAGTCGTGAACGAGAATTGTGTATTTTTGCATAGGGGACCCATTGAAACTCGAAATGAGATCATACGATGTCGCATTCAAAATTTAAGCCAATCTTCGTGACTCGGTTGATTTAGTAAGCCTGAAAACACTGAAGAGTTGTATGTTTTTTTCTATTCATAATTTGGACTTGAGTCGTGAACGAGAATTGTGTATTTTTGCATAGGGAACCCATTGCAACTCGAAATGATATCATATGTTGTCGTATTCAAAATTTAAGCCAATCTTCGTGATTCGGTTGATTTAGTAAGCCTGAAAACACTGAAGAGTTGTATGTTTTTTTCTATTCATAATTTGGACTTGAGTCGTGAACGAGAATTGTGTATTTTTGCATAGGGAACCCATTGCAACTCGAAATGAGATCATACGATGTCGTATTCAAAATTTAAGCCAATCTTCGTGACTCGGTTGATTTAGTAAGCCTGAAAACACTGAAGAGTTGTATGTTTTTTTCTATTCATAATTTGGACTTGAGTCGTGAACGAGAATTGTGTATTTTTGCATAGGGAACCCATTGCAACTCGAAATGAGATCATATGATGTCGTATACAAAATTTAAGCCAATCTTCGTAACTCGGTTTATTTAGTAAGCCTGAAAACACTGAAGAGTTGTATGTTTTTTTCTATTCATAATTTGGACTTGGGTCGTGAACGAGAATTGTGTATTTTTGCATTGGGAACCCATTGCAACTCGAAATGAGATCATACGATGTCGCATTCAAAATTTAAGCCAATCTTCGTGATTCGGTTGATTTAGTAAGCCTGAAAACACTGAAGTGTTGTATGTTTTTTTCTATTCATAATTTGGACTTGAGTCGTGAACGAGAATTGTGTATTTTTGCATAGGGAACCCATTGCAACTCCAAATGAGATCATACGATGTCGTATTCGAAATTTAAGCCAATCTTCGTGATTCGGTTGATTTAGTAAGCCTGAAAACACTGAAGAGTTGTATGTTTTTTTCTATTCATAATTTGGACTTGAGTCGTGAACGAGAATTGTGTATTTTTGCATAGGGGACCCATTGAAACTCGAAATGAGATCATACGATGTCGCATTCAAAATTTAAGCCAATCTTCGTGACTCGGTTGATTTAGTAAGCCTCAAAACACTGAAGAGTTGTATGTTTTTTTCTATTCATAATTTGGACTTGAGTCGTGAACGAGAATTGTGTATTTTTGTATAGGGAACCCATTGCAACTCGAAATGAGATCATACGATGTCGCATTCAAAATTTAAGCCAATCTTCGTGACTCAGTTGATTTAGTAAGCCTGAAAACACTGAAGAGTTGTATGTTTTTTTCTATTCATAATTTCGACTTGAGTCGTGAACGAGAATTGTGTATTTTTGCATAGGGAACCCATTGCAACTCGAAATGAGATCATATGTTGTCGTATTCAAAATTTAAGCCAATCTTCGTGATTCGGTTGATTTAGTAAGCCTGAAAACACTGAAGAGTTGTATGTTTTTTTCTATTCATAATTTGGACTTGAGTCGTGAACGAGAATTGTGTATTTTTGCATAGGGAACCCATTGCAACTCGAAATGAGATCATACGATGTCGTATTCAAAATTTAAGCCAATCTTCGTGACTCGGTTGATTTAGTAAGCCTGAAAACACTGAAGAGTTGTATGTTTTTTTCTATTCATAATTTGGACTTGAGTCGTGAACGAGAATTGTGTATTTTTGCATAGGGAACCCATTGCAACTCGAAATGAGATCATATGATGTCGTATACAAAATTTAAGCCAATCTTCGTAACTCGGTTTATTTAGTAAGCCTGAAAACACTGAAGAGTTGTATGTTTTTTTCTATTCATAATTTGGACTTGGGTCGTGAACGAGAATTGTGTATTTTTGCATTGGGAACCCATTGCAACTCGAAATGAGATCATACGATGTCGCATTCAAAATTTAAGCCAATCTTCGTGATTCGGTTGATTTAGTAAGCCTGAAAACACTGAAGTGTTGTATGTTTTTTTCTATTCATAATTTGGACTTGAGTCGTGAACGAGAATTGTGTATTTTTGCATAGGGAACCCATTGCAAATCCAAATGAGATCATACGATGTCGTATTCGAAATTTAAGCCAATCTTCGTGATTCGGTTGATTTAGTAAGCCTGAAAACACTGAAGAGTTGTATGTTTTTTTCTATTCATAATTTGGACTTGAGTCGTGAACGAGAATTGTG